GACCAGGAACATAATTCAGATTCGAGCAACTGGGCTCTTCTGAGAAAGCTACTCAGCCCAGGCCCCTGCGGACCACCTAGCAGGACTTGGGGAAAATCTGACACCATTTCTCCGACTCACTTTTCCTTTCTAGAACCTTCATAGGGAAAATCTCACCCAAATTCACTCTTAGCCACTGGAGGCTTCCTAGACTCCAGCATTCTGGGGACAAAGAATTCTCTGGTTCCTGGTCTAGGTTTACGATTATCCTGGACCCCAGGCCCCGAGAAATCCTGCAGATGATCCAGGTCATCGGGACGAGCTCAGGCTCTAGGCCACCTCGAGTGGGAAAGGCACATGGCGAGAGAAGACATGAAAACAGCAAGTTGGCCAGAGACGCGCCTGCCCTGGCAAAAAGCCCAAGGAGATGAAAGGCCCCGCGAACGAGGCTCCCTTGCCAGCACTAACGTACCAGCATCTGTGTTTGTTTAAAAGATGCAGAGCGAGAAAGTGCGATTTTGCTTTCTCGAAGAACATTCAGAGCCAGTTTCAGCACCCAGATCTTCACAAGAAGATCTCATGGGGCTCTGTGAGGTGTGAGTGGGCGTTAAGGGCAGAATTTCCTGCCTGAACTGGAAATTCCAATGATAACTGACACTGGGTTGTTGTTTTAAAGGAAAGGAGAAACTGCTATACACATGAGATGGCACAGGCGATCACAGTGGTATTTACGGCAAGCACGGGAAACTCAAATGTATAAATCGACTTCAGTGGTTCCCAAAGTGGGGTCCCCAGACCAGCAGCAGCAGCATCACCTGGGAGCTTGTTAGAAATGCACGTTCTTGGGCCTCACCTCTGACCTCAGGAATCAGCAGCTCTGTGGTGGGCCCAGAAATCTGGATTTAACCTGGAGGTTTAATCCTTCGGGACATTTTGATGCATCCTCAAGTCTGAGAAGCGATTTGAGCGCCTTTAAAAGTCACCAGCAGAAATGACCTCTAGCCTCAAACACAAGGACTCATTTATTTGTTCCCTACTGGTTGCACCTCCAGTGTGCGAGATATTGCTCTGGCTGCAGTCAGAGCTAAGGAGGACACTGGTCCTGCCAGCCAGATACTCTCTGGGTAAATGTGCAAATATAGTGCCTTGCAGGCCTCATACCCCTGTGCTCATGTTACCAGGATAGCAAGGAGAAAGCTGAATGAACAGGATTGTTCATTTAGCTATACATGGACATCTAGTTTGGGGCCACTCAACTGCAGCACTAGTGACATTCTGGGCCTGATGTTTTATGATGGGGACTGTCCTATGCATGCAGGACGTTTAGCAGCATCCTGGCCTCTGCCAACTAGATGCCAGGAGCACCCACTCTCCAGTTATGACACATAAAATTGTCTCCAGACATTGCCCAATGTCTCTGGGAAGTGAAACAACCCTGATTGAAAACCACTGGTTTAACTATAGTGTGCTGGCTGCTGGCTCTAGAAATGTGAACGATGTTAGATAGTTAAGCCTCTGGAGTCTATAAAGGCCTAAACTGTATGGGTTACCAATGTTCCCAAAACCCATTCCCCATCTCCTACCCCAACACATAAAGAAAAACATGAGCATATAATCTAGGTTCCAGGGTACCCTGACTGAGCCATACCCAAGCTTCTGAGCTGGCTGTGGAACTTGGGACATGCCTCAGACGCCAAAGAATGGCTTTCAGGACCTGCACCTGGTGCTGTCGTGGACCCTTGATCATTGCATTGCTGGTTCTTAGTTTATTGATAACACAAAGCATAAGAGATATAGTGGCAGTACAGACAATACCGTGGGGTCATAAATCTCTCAAGTTTTCGGCTGGGTGCGGTGGCTCATGCCTATAATCCTAATACCTAGGAGGCCAGGCGGGGAGGATCACTTAAGTCAGGAGTTCAGATCAGCCTGAGCAAGAGCAAGACCCTGTCTGTACTAAAAATAGAAAAAATTAGCTGGGCGTGCTGTGCATGCATGCGCCTGTAGCCACCGCTACTCAGGAGGCTGGGCAGGAGAGTCACTTGAGCCCAGGAGTTTGAAGGTTGCAGTGAGCTATGATGACACCACTGCACTCTAGCGGGCAACAGCAGCGAGCTCTGCTTAAAAAAAAAAGTCTCTCAGTTCTATCTCCCC